TGTCAGCAGTGGAAATGAGAATATTTTACTTTTGGAACCCTCATTATCAGCAGTAGAAATGAGAATATTTTACTTTTAGAACCCTCACTGTCAGCAGTAGAAATGAGAATATTTTACTTTTAGAACCCTCACTGTCAGCAGTAGAAATGAGAATATTTTACTTTTAGAACCCTCATTGTCAGCAGTAGAAATGAGAATATTTTATTTTTAGAACTCTCACTTCACATATTTCATTTTTGTCCTTATTTCTGTTTTTTTACTTGGCTATACATTTTTTTTTATCTTCACCTTTGTGCAAATAATAATTGTTAAGCAACAAGCTAAGTGATAAACATATTCTACAAAGACTGAAAAACTATGCCAGAAAAACAGCTGGTTAAAAACTACAAATGCTTTTGGAACAATTTTATAGTTTCAAAAAAAGTTAATATTTTCTTCTGTTGTCAAAACCATCATTTATAGCGTAAGAGTAAATTTATTGATAGCCATATGGCACGCAACAAAACAAAAAAAGAAGAGACACTTATTCATCTCCCCACAAGATGAAGTCTCGTGTAAGTTTTTGTTGGTTCGTGCAATGTGTACCAACCATTGCATCATTGTTGATCATATCCATATGTATGCATTTTCTTACATTCAGAGAATCAATTATTTGTCTTAAATACAAATTAATGTTATATATATATTAATAAATATATTACACATATCTTCAGATTAAAAATGTAATTTTTAGATTCATAATATTTACAATAATCATTCTATAATTTAGAAACACATAAGGTGCATGTACTGTGCAACCAGTTTTATATCTGGCCAACAATCAAATTTGAAATACTGGGATTATTTCTTTTATATATATAAGACAGTGTTTTATTGTGCCTGATGGTTATGAGTAACTCTTGAATCTTATAATTTTGTCTTTAGCTATATTCGTATATAAATGAATAAATTTAATTACATTGGTATAATATCGAATAAAACAACAGCTCTTTGTGTACGATGTAATGAAAGCATGGTTAATAAAGAACTTATGTAAACCTCATGGTTCCACTATGTTTAGTTATATAATAGTTACTGTGTTGTGGCATTCTATGGAAAAATGTTTTCTGATAATTAACTTGCCTTGGATATTTAATTACTGTCTGATAAGTCACAAGTTACAATATACTAAGCTACATTAAAATGAAAAGTAATGTATCCATATAACTACAGACTTCTGTTCAACAACAATATGTATACGATAACGATAAGTGTTAGCAGCTGCAAAATAATAAAAACATAGTTGCAACATTTTTATCTGATTTTTTTGTTTGATGTAACAAAATGATTAAATTTTAACTTATTCAAGAACTACATTATTCATAGTTGGCAACAGTAAACAAAAATGTTGAGTTATGGGAGACATAACTCATCATCATCATCAACTTCGAGGCATCATGTTTGAGCCTTAATAATCTGACGTATAGTTTATGGCTATTGCCATTACATTTTACATATTTGCCTAGTGGGTGAAGAAAGTTGATAATTTCAGCTTTACTATGACAAATAACAAACAATCTGACTGAAAATAATGTTTACTATGTAATATATAATAGCTTTTATAATGACCAGCTGAAGTACTGACAAATTTTATATATATTTGTCTTTGATAGCAATAGAAAAAAGAATATTCATTCATGAAGCTTGCAAGCTATTTTGTTCCGTTTCTATAAGTTGAAGGAAATTAACCTTACTAGCTGAATCAAGTAATATCAAATAGATGCTAGAAATTAATCCTGTTAACTGTGTTAAGTAAGTACAGTCATAATGAATACTTATGATTAAGCTAAATAAGAAAGCTTCAAAATGAATTAATCTTAGTTCAACAAATACAGTTCATTTGTAACTACCATAAGTCTATTTAACTTTTTAAAGTTTACTCATAAAAAAACAACAAATTAACTAGTTTCCCTAAATGATTAACAGGTGCACCTGTAGGGTAGATGTGGCAAGGTTTGCTTTAATTTTCAGCTATTCCAAAAAAAAGAATAATAAAAAACAATAATGGGTGAATGACCATGTTATTTTGCTATATATATATTTTTTTACTACAATTGAATAGTCACTATACTAAACTAATAAACATTAAAACAGTTTCTCACCAATTTATGTTTTGTGCACAATACAGAAAAATTCATTAACAGCATTAGAAAAATACTTCCCTCCTGTATACTTCTTCGACTGTTCCAGAGATGTCATGAACAGATGCTTCACACTGTCATCAAACTTGGTGACAAATTTCTGGAAATTATCAGTTTTTTTCTCGCTGATAAAATACCACAAACAACCTATATATTAATGATAATTTAAGAAGCTGATACATGTAAATTTTTTTGTTTAACAATCAAAACTACCCGAAACAAATAATATAAGAAGCATTCCCAAAAGTCAACTTAATAATTGTGACTTGCAATTCTGCTTTACAAGACATTAATCAAACTAAATGAAAAGAAATATCATAAATCAAACATCCTTTTAACATTACTTTACATTTTCCTGTAGTTTAGTCAAAATTCATTAGAAATACTACCTACATGTGAATTAACCTTAAACGTGTTTGATGAAGCTGATGGTTTCTCTTAACTTATAATGGACACAACTTTATTACTCACTAACATAAGTAAACAAAGGTTGTCTACTCAAATAGTAAAACAAAAATAACTTTAGCATTGACTACTTTGTTATTAAGATAATAGTATTTTTTGTATTTCATATTTTAGAATATTACAATAAAGCTTACTTTGAAGAACTATTCATAAATACAGTAGAAGAGAATTAAATAATGAACAAAAAATATTAACCAGGTTTTGTGTTTTACAAAATGAAATTATTGGAAAATGTTCAACATACACAACTACTGGATCAAGAAGTTGTTCTGGAGGTTGAATTGCAAGAAAAAATGAAGCTCCAACAAGTTCATCCTTCTCAGCTTTTCGTTTTCCAGCCTTCCATCTCTATGTATAACAAACTACATTAAAATCACTGATTTCAAAGAACCTCAATAAATAAAACACAGAAAAACAATATGATAATGTTCATTCTTAATACATCAAGAAAAGATTTGAATGTGGTTTTTAGAATACTGGTTCACTGGAATGGACATTGTTAAAAATGTTTTAAGACAGTAAAACATCTTGATTTATTAGTTATTCACCATAGCAACTTTTAAGGAATAAAGTGATTACTTACAATAGGGTACAACTGACAATAATAAAATACCCATTCATGAAACTATTACCTCAAAGCATGAAAGGTTACCTCAGCAACAGTATATCAGAGATTGATTTAATTGTTTTCGGTGAATAACTTTGAATTTAAATGTTGATAATTTAAAATGCAGTAAAACTTAGCATGGTAGATACTTCTAACTAAGAATAAAATATTATTTTGAACTAAATATTAATGAAAATTATATTTATTAATTGACATATTTTCTTATTCAATATCAAGGCTAAAACATAGGGGTTTGAAAAAGTAAAGAAAATTACTAGTTACAAAAATCTCTTCAGGCTTATAGTAGTTTAATATCACATTGTTGCAAATAATATGGTAGGGTTCTACCAAATATGGCAAGAAATATAAAAGTAAGGTAATATTTACAGTTAAAATAGCATGACCAAAATATTTTCAAAACACAATGTATATTAACTTATTCCTACTTCACATACTTTACCAATCACACATGCAGTATTTTACAAAAAAAAAACAGAAACAGCAAAACATTTATAGAATCTCATGTTATACTAAGAACTTAACTCTTTAAACTGTCAACAAATAGAGCAAGAAACACTGGTTGTTGCTGCTTGGTAATTACTGAAAATGTATTTAGTTCTTAAATAGATGATGCACCAATAATTTGTTTTATTTACCAATAAAATTAAAGTTATTTTTATGCAATACTCTGTTCCATCCACTTTTATTTTCCAACATTATGTCTGTTATATTGTTTCATCATGGACTGATGCAAAATATTATAATGCTCATTTAAAATACATTTTGTCAGAAAAAAAATTAACATTTGTTATGAGATTCTGGTGTCTAACAATGTTTCTGTATCTGTCTGGTCACACCCTATATGCACAGCATTCAATCTATCACTTGCTACCTACCTATATATATTTGTGGATTATATATTTATGTATTTTTAACTCTTATTACTTTGAGATTTCCAACTGTCTGAAGACATGAACTAGAGCTTAAAAATACATGTAGCAAAAGGTGTAACAATATTTTAGTTAGTTTTTCAGACAATACTATACCCTATTTCCAATGGTTAAGTTATGAATGAACTTATATTTAAGTTCACACTGTCCAATAAAACTAACACTGAATAAACTACCATTCACAGTCATTTATTTTATTCAAAATTATGCATACTGCATTCCAGTCAGCAATACGTAATTTAAGAGATGTAAAAACCAACACACTTTCTTTTTCTTCCCTCCCAACATTTACAAAACAGCACAGAAAATACACTAAAGAAATGTTACAAAAAGATAAATATCAATTCTGAAATAGCTTTGAGCTCAAAATTGTAGAAATATTTACAGTTACTACTTGTGTACTTAAATTTTTAAATGTGCTTTGCAAGGGTGCAGTCAATACTTGAAAGGTACTCACTAGTAATCAAATGGTTAATAGAGGTGGAGAAAAACTGCACTTGGTTAAACTGTTATTATTTAGGTAAGAAAATATTAAAGATTTTTTTATGAATCAAAGGCTTAAAAAATAAACAATATTTAGCTTTTCAGCTAAATACTCTAAGACTGATTCTGTAATGGTCTGGGATTTATGACAGAAAAAACAAACTAATAAAATATAATAAACTTTTTCAATTTTTGTAGATTTTAGATGGGCATTTTTTTTTCTCACCAAAGGCAGTAACATATGAAAACATTAAGGAATCACTACATAAATGAAGTTTACAGGACAGGCCAGTACTAATCAACTGCAAACAGAAATTTTTCACAATACTTCAACTTAGTGGTTTTAATGATAAAAACATATGACCAAAAGGATTTAGTCCTACATTAAAACTTTTAGGTTAATAACTATCTTTTATCACTTTTCTATAACCTATGACTACTGGCTATGGACACTGTTAGTAACCAAAGTCGTTTTCATCATATTTTTTCCAAAAATATAATTGTGGATGAAATTGTTTGAAATTTGACAAAAACTTTTCTAAAAGTATGTAGTTTCAGAAAAATAATAATTTTAATTTTTTCTCTCTACTATTTCTAATAAAAATTCATTATTTTGAAGCATTTGTGCTTAAGATGGAAAACAATGTACTATTGAGTACATGTACTTATAAGTAAAAACTGTACACAACTTATTCGGAAGAGCACAGATAGCCCTTTGTGTAGCTTTGTGCTTAATAAAAATAACAGCTAGCAAAGGATTCCAAGTGGATGAATGAAAATATAATTTTTCTTAATATCCATGTATGACATGCACACATTTCAAGTGAAGAAAAAATGTGCACACCAGAGGATGTCTAATGTAAACCACATTGAGACACTTGACCAAAGAAAGAAATGTATATGTTAAACGAATATTGTGATGCATCCCAAGCTGCAGTGTAAACCAATGGCTTGTCTTATCGACATAAACGGATGCATCTGTAGCAATGAGAAAGCTACAAGAAAGTTTACATTATCAACACTAACTGCAGGAAGTTAATTCTATAGAAAACTTATTGGCAGAACTTTGATGAGAAGGAAGGCTGTTGATTTACTGTTTTCAATCGAAACCAATTACTATCTAGTTTTGGTTTTAGTACCGAGCCTTATGATGAATCAGCAAAATTCATCCAATAGAGTGATGGATCTACTTGTGAGGTGGATGTATACACTAATGAATAATCATAAGAATAGAAAGAATTATGTATAAAATCCTGTTTTTGAGTGAGAAATCAGTTCTCCAACATCAGTAATAAAGGCGAAGACTCCACGTAATGCTATTAAATAATTCTGAACCGGCAGATAATTTTAATTACTAAATTTACAATATTTTTAGTACTTTAATCTCACCTTTTCATCAGTACATGTGATAAAATGGTTCCATACATCACTTTGACACAATATTGGATGTCTACAAATTTTGTCAACCCACATCTGTAACTGAAGTCTTCGATGCTCAACAAATTCTTTTTGATAACGACCTAAGAAAAGATTTTAAAATAATTCATAAACCATACTCGCTCTTTTATAAAAGACAAGAACAGCTACACAAGCACTTGCACTTATATACATACCGTTAAATTATTTTACTAAAAGGAATATCATCATAAAATGTTTCAGCTGTTATCCTACCGTGCACTTTAAATGAACAAATTAAACTTAAATATTACTAACTTCATTTTTCCTGTAAGTTAGCTTAATTATTCAATTTAGAAAAACAGCACATTTTTATATCATTTCAGTTATGATGTTTTAGCAAAACTAAAAACATACTTGATCACCAGTATTCATCCAAACTTATTAATCTTATAATTAATAAAACACATTAGCTTATAATACTTTACAGCAGTCTTCACTAGTAGCATTTGATAAATGATTTGATTATTGGCCCAAGTTTTCAACTGTAATACTGAACATTTGCAGGAACTCGACGGGGGAATGATATGTGTGAAATGGTAACTCTGAGATTTCTTAATGTATCCGTACAAAAACTGGTGAGATTTTGTTAAAGATAACAAGTTTCTTGTACACAAAAAATGACATTATTCTAGTTAAGTCTTTCTATAAAAAATATGTTATCTAGTTTATTGCAGTTATTTGTACTCAGACTGAATAGTTTGTGTGCAAGGTTATTTTCATTTTACGTATAAAAATATTTTTCTCCATGCCATAGTTCCGAGGCTAATTTGCATAACCTCTATAACCTCCTAAGTAAATATCAAAAGTTTTTTTTTCGGGGTAAATATTTATATTTTATTGTTCATTTTCTCTATCATATCACTGACTGTAGATATTATCATTAACATACATTGCAATGAAATGTTTAAAATTAAGAAACAGAAAAATGTACATACCTTTTAATTTTTTTGTAGAATATCTTTTTTTGGTGATATTTGTAATTTCAGATCTTTTATTCTTCACATATATTTAATTTTTAATGTTTTATTTTTCTTTCCTTGTCCTTTACTGTTTATTATTCATCTCAACATAAGTCCACGATGCCCTCAGGGCATATTACAGAATCTTTGGGAGAAATGTGCAAGCCATTGGCAAAATTATCTTACACTTGCACAAGATTGTAAGCCTTGAGAACAGGGCAATGTTTGAGATAAATTTACAAAATATTTAAACCTTTTATTTATGCATCTTAAAACATAAATATTACATAATCAACCAAGATATAAAAGTAAAACCAAAATGCAATTTAACTGTCTCTCTAACTATAGCATATTTAGGTAAAAAACAACCATAAGTGCTATTATGGACAAAGCAGCCAACAATACTAGTGGCAGTTACATCTACCTGATGACAACAACTGAGCATCAGTTTCAAAAGAACTATTGTTGGATTATAATGTAAAATGAGCTCTTTCTAATGACTATATGCACATGCATCAACTAACTACATGTCACTTGTAAAGCTCAAGGAATAGTATAAATGGTGGTTGTGGGACCTGTCAGAGGTTGGAAAATTTATCTCTAGTTTCAACAGAACTCAGCCAAAGAACTTTGGAACATACGTGTCAATAGGACAAGTAAACATACTTATATACATACATCTACAGGACTGGGATTATCTGATTCAAGACAGCAAGTGTAAAAGTTGAGATTTTTCATATCTCGTGGGTCATGTGAGAACAAAACTGAAGTTTAAGTATTTTTTAATGATTTCTTTTGAAACAAAGGAATTAAAACTTAGATAACATAAAACTTCGAATTATAAAATACATTATAATGTTAATTACATTGACATACATTGATAGTAAAGATGTTTAATTAAATTTTGAATGTAACTCAGTGACTTGCACAGAAAGGGATTTAAGGGAGTGCCTATTGTGAAAGGGGTTATTAAATGACTTTTGGACTATAATAATTCATAAAATGAATACTTGACAGGTCTTCACTAATGTCAGTGATAAAATTACATAACTGACTAGCTTTCAATAGTAATACTGATAAAACATGCATGACCATTTATCACAAATAAAACTTATAAAAAATCAATATTAGTAATACCAAAAATGACAATCTACCACAGTCTTCATGATTAAAAAGAGATAAACATACTTGACTACAGGTAATACTGATGTAATGGCATACTTGTTCATAATATATATAACAACTCTGATAATTTGAAACATGTAACTATAGCCTTTACTAAATGAATTGTTAAAGAGACATACTTCACTTCACAAAGCTTTTGACAATGTTAATCATGTACAATTGTCTGAAATGCTACTTCAGATGGAAGGCCACATCACACGGTATCTCTGATACAATTATATTACATAGATCAGACAGAAGTGGTATGGTGGAACAGAAAACACAGTAGTACATCTGAAATACTTCAAGAAGTATGACAAGGATGTATTATGTCACCACACCTGTTCAGTTCTTGTGCTGAAATCATCATGAGAGAAGTAGAAACTGACACAGTGGGAGTACACTTTTCTTATTCTGATGATACAGCTCTGTGGCAGCTCTAAACAAGAAACAGAAGATCTGATAAAGAAAGTGAACACTGCTGGTGAATC